CTTCCACAGGCATTTATAATGTCACTGCAAACATAAGCTTTGTCCTCAGATGAAGGATCAGCCAGGGTCCGCGCCCTGAAGGGGTCAAACAAACAGCAAATATGGACAGACTATGACTAAGACGCTGGAGTCGGGCTAATGGCATATGGTCACAGTGGGAAACTGTTGTATTTTTTGGGCTATTAGAAACCAATAAGTCACTCAACGTTAGCCAAAGTAACGCTGCTAGGCTAAATGGACATAAATACAAAGACTCCTTTATTGTCATTTTATGGCACGTTATACATGAAATGAAAGGAAATTCAGGTAAAATGACTAGATCTATGATTAAAAATATTTTTTCAAACATTTTCCTGTTTCTAGATAATATAACACAAGTGAAAACACAGATCGCTCTGACTAAAACCCACACTGAATCATTACGACACTTATAAAAGTAAGCAACGCTAAAAATGGCTTCTAGGGTTTGGGTGATAAAAGAAAACATGGTTTTTCACATGGTTATAAACTTAATTACAATAAAATTGAAAATAATGATTGAAATGCGTATGACAATGTTTTTTTTTCTCGCATGTGTGCGTGTATTTAAAGCCTTAAAAGCAACAAAGATAAACACAGAACTAAGCACATGCTCACACACACACACACACACACACACACACACACTCACTCACACAATGGCCAGTATGTGAAAAGATCAGATTTCCATCGTGTTTGTTTTCTTAGGATAAGGCATGTGTGAACAAAGAAAATACTTTTCTCCCTCGTAGCCATCTGCTGAAACCAGAGGAATTTCTTTAATTGTGAATAGTTCTGTTCGGCTCAGTGAGCCCAAATGGCAGAAAGGGCTTCGGCTAATCATTTATGGGACGCTTGAATAAGAGGTAAATATTAACTTGTAGTAACAAATACCTGAAAACAAACAACCATATTTTCATGATCTCAAAGAAAAAAAAAAACTATGAAGAATAAATATTATGACCTACTGTTCAGTCTCTGTCTGTGTTTTTTGGCTACTATTCCAATGACCAGGCTAACACCATGGACCTACATTAAAAACATTAAATATATATTTATGATCAGTCTCTGTCTGTGTTTTTTGACCAGGCTAACACCATGGACCTACGTTAAAAACATTAAATATATATTTACCCATATGAAGAGAACATAACTTACATACACAATATATGATGATGAAATATATGCCCATATATGGCACAATATGATTCAATTATTACAGTATATGGCAGACCTGGGCAAACTCTGGCCCGTGGGCCAAATACAGCCCACTGGTCTTTCTAATCTGGCCCACCAAACACTGGTACAAGGTACGGTAAAGACTGATGTCAATCCTGCTGGTTCATGGATTACAACAAATCAAGTGTGATTTCTGTTGACGCCACTCAATGTCAGCAGACATTAAATGCGCCAAATTAACTTCAAAAGTTTAGGTTTATTCTTCATCCAACCAATACTGAAAATTCGGAACCTCATTTTGGCCCGTGAGCCAAAGATTTTGCCCACCCTATTACACTAGTACAGACTATAAAATTATATTTATATTTTATTTTTTCATTTTAATTGCTCATGGCCTATCAACACTGGACGTTCCTGATTTACTTATCTGGCAGCTCTGGTGTATGAGAACACAGAGAGGAAACTGATGAAACATCATGCTGACATGTGCATATTCAATAACCAGGCAGATTTGTATGAAAAAAAAAAGCAACAAATCCCTTATTTGCACACAAATAAAACCTGACGACCTGACTCCTACCCAGTGTTCCCAGCCCCAACTGCATCCCACAAAATATGGAATAAAAGACGACAATCGAGCAATTGTTCCCTTTACAATACACAGCACCATGCGCATGGTCAAAAGTAGCAAACACTCATTTGTTTAGGGTTAGTGGCACAGAAACAGGACAGGAAAACAATGGCCAAATGTCTTTGTTTCTCCGTCACAAAAGCTAGCTGCTTATTTGCATTCACAAGATCACACTCACTGCTCAGTGGTGAAAACCCAGAGAGGATATTGTAATGTCTCCACCCTGTTAGATAGTCAAACCTAATTGTCTGTAAATTTAAAAAGAAAGAAAAAAAGAAAGTAGCACACATCCTGGTCTGCACGCTACAGGCAACAAGCAGTGTCTGAAAATTAAACTTTCTGCACCCCCCCACCCCCTCCACACTCCACCCCCCAGAGAGACTGGTGTTAAACTGCTGCATTCAACCCTAAAAGCAGCTGCAACAAAAGAGCCTGTCAGGTTAATACTTCCTGACAACCAAAGATAGACAAAAACAACACCGTAAACACTTAAACACCAAACGAACGCCACAGAAAGGCATCAGTTCAAGCGGACCGTGTGGAGGAGGAGAAAAAACAACAAAAAACACCCGGACATAAAATCACTCACTGGCCTCGGAAACAAACATATTCAAAGCGGCCAGAGGATATTGATCCCTCTGTTGGAAACTTTAGTTAAAAATGTTTCTTAACAAATAATCACACCGCCTTCAGGGGAGCAAATTAGAGTGTCTTTTTTAGAGGGGTTGAACACACACTCTATGATCCAAAAAACTGAACTGAACAAAGACCAGATAAAAGCCTGCAGTGTTCCCGAGAATCAAAACTCACTTAAGATGTCAATAGTGTCACAGAGGAAAAAAAAAGAGAGAGAGATGCCTGCATTGGAAAACAAATCCATATCAATACTTTACCAATCAGTTAATTTCATTAAGGCATTCAATGCCATTTACTCTGGGGATTGCAAATTGTGTGCAAACAAAGCAAAGGTCAAAAATGTATTGTTTAACCCAGTGACAGATTGTATCTGCGGGGAGTGCAGTTTGAAAGAGTTTGCGCTCGGTGGCCGTCCGAACGATTTACAACCACCTCTGATGGGAGAAATTAACTGGAATACTAAATTCACTTAGGCTCATTTGACATTTTCACACCATCAAAAGCAACAACTCTTTTTTTTTCTCCACTAATGGACACGTGAGGTCCGGCTTCTGCTTGTTGTCGTTTTTCACCCGGCCCTCTCTGGATCTGTTTATGTCCAGGAGGAAGGCACCACAGCTTACGATTTCTTTAAGCAGCTGTGAGTGGAAATTGCTTTTTGGGGGAGACATTTATGACCCCATTCAAAGGCCCACATCTCAAACACAGGAAGGAAGGAACTGAGAAGTGCCATACAGTATCAAGAGATCTGTCGAAAACTCCTGCTAGGTTTCTAGAAAAGATCAAAGCAAACGTCTAAAGATTTATAGACGGTCGTCTTGGTTTTTGAGTTGAAACAACTTTTTAGGTAAGAATTCAAATGCACCAGAGTAGGTGTAATTTTGAAGTCCATCCAGACAGCGCTTAAATCAGCCGTGATGTCATGTATGGAAGGGGGGCAGAGGGGTACCCACCTCCTCAAGAGTGCTCAGGATTAGGGCCTGGAAGTCTGTCAGATAATAGATCAAAGAGATACACCAGAGTGCACTTCTTGCTTTTTCCCACATGATGCTCATCTTCACACATATAGGAATTTCAAGGACCCCCCCCCAAACAAAAACACCCACACAAACTTCACCTGAAGACAGACTGACACCAACAGTCCACAAAGACAGTCCTCCTAGTGGCAGAAAACGGCATTGCTTGTGATTGTGATATAAAAGGAAGAACACTTGGAGACGGATGAAAGTACAGTTTATCACACAGAGTACTCTGTAAAAGGCAATTTGTGCTTCTGTCCCGTGAAGATTTGTTCCTGTGACTCAACAGTTCTCACGTGAAAGTCGAGCAAAAGCAGTTCTTTACAAAAGCATCTGAAGGAAATTCAAGTTTCTACTTCTTCAGACAGGTGAGGTACATGTTGCTCTTAGATATTAGGATTCTAAAGAGAAGCGCTTCCCGTGTCTTTTTCTGCAGCGCCCCCTTCTGAAAATAGGACCGCTGTGCCTGGACATGTTCACAGCTATTGTTTCAAAACGCCACTGAACTTTAGTTAAAGCACTGTTATTTCATTTACAAAAAGGCATATCTGTATACTTTTGGGTTAAGACTTTAGTTAAAGTACTGTTATTTCATATACAAAAAGGCATATCTGTATACTTTTAGGTTAATTCTGTTTAAAAAAGGGAATATTTCAGGCAAAATGACTTGGCTAACTAACTAGCCTTCTGATTTAGCTCATTTAGCTAGCAGCTTTTCTACTGTCTTTTGTGTTATTCTACTGATGTGTAGATATTACAATTACTAACATTATGTAATAATATTTCCCAAACATTTGTTTACAGTAAACCATGTATCATTTAAAGTACTTATAATTTTAAAATCTTGGTCAAAAAATTAAACAACTCTATATGTAAACACATATGTGCGTTGGTTTAATGAACACGTTGATAGCTACAGTGCTAATAATAATAATAAAAAATACTTTGATTTTTTGGTATTAGTTGTATTTAATACGTCACACTGGCCTTAATGTTTGACAATAAATGTGAAAACAACAGTCAGCCTCACCGAATTCCACTTAGGGCTTTTACCTTTACATACAGCATTCAGGTAAAACTTTAGTGCAGACGAAGTCATTCGTCATAAAACTACACCTGAGCCACAAACCTCAGCAGCCAACGTCAGGAGAGCCATTAGTGCAGAGGAACGGAGGGAAATCAATGGTCAACTGTTCACAGGAGACTCTTGTTCTGATAAAGCCTTCACTTTCTGCAAATACTAAGTGCTGAAGTCTGAGTGTGAAACGGCCAGAATAATGGATGGCCACCAGCAAACCGGGCACTTTATTGAAAAATCTATGCGCTGACCAACCTGGCTTTTAGCGAACAGGACCTTGATGTACAATTGATTATTTTGTAGATTCTCAAACGACGAGGAGAAAAATACTCCACGCAGCGTGAGTAGAATAAACTCTGTCACAGACAAGGCGCCTGTTCACTTCTTGAGCTCTACTGCCACCTCCTGGACGAAGAGGAGATAACACGGCACAAACGAATTGAAATCCAACTTGTGATGGTTTATTTCAAATGAAATTCTTTTGCAATTCTACAATGCGGCTTTTTCCAGTCAAGTTTTTTTTTCCACAAAAAATAAACACAACTTAGGTATTGAATATTGACAATGTGAGCAAAAATGACAGACGTCGTATCAGCTTTGTATTTAAAAATGTTTCAGCGTTAACATAAAAACATGATATGAATCAAATGTGCTGAGACAACAACTAGTAACCTGCTTGTCCATCACAGTGTCACACACCTGGTCACATCACACTCGTACATTGATTCTGCAAAAAAAAAAACCCATAGGGAGAATATAGAAACTCCACACAGAAGGACTGGGGCTCAAACAAGGAACCAATGATCTTCTTGCTGTATAGGCAAGCACTCTCACCACCTTCACCACCGCACAGGCCCAAATACACTGCATCCTTCTTCAAATGTAATGTTTTTTTGGTTCAACTTCAACAGTTCAAACTTAAACTTCTGACAGCAAACAGAATCTGTTTTTCCATCCACGACCTGCGCAATTCTTTAAAATAGCTTATTATGGTGTAACAAAGTTTAAGTTTCAAGAAAAAAACAACACACGCTCAAGCAGGAACTAAATCCTACACTCATTATGGGATGTCTTCCAGTGTGTGTGAGTCGGAGAAGTGTGTCTGGGCTCTATGGCACTCTGCTGCGGCTCAATCAACGGAACGCTGTGGATGATGTCGCCAATAATTGGAACCATCGTACTTTCCTCACAGGCTGCGACACTCTCCTTCGATGTGTCCATTTTGTCTTCTAACGGAGGGAAGAACTCACTAGGTGGCGTCTCAGTGGACGTGTGCCCCACGGTCACGATTGTAACTTCTGTGCCTCCCTCCTGGATTAAGGCGTTGAGGCTCTCCAGCTCTGAGCAGGTAGTGATAAATGCTTGTGCGCCGTGGCTGGAGTCCTGAGCAGCGATGGAGGTTTGCAGCAGGGCCTGGTGGAGCGGGTGGTCAGTGTCCTGGGAGCTGAGCTGAGTCAACAGCACAGTCTGGGGTTTAAGGGCCGAGTCTGACGCTTCAGCAGAGCCAAGTGTTGGAGTTAGTAGGTTCACCTGCTGGATCATGGAGTTGACTACCACCTGCTGGTTGTCTGGTCTCAGTAGGACCACGTTGGTCTTCTCCTGACCAGACAGACCTGCAGGGATCACGGTGCTGTCCTGGACCAATGGGTGAGATACAATAATTTTAAGCTGTGCACTGCTGTAAGGAGCGGCTGAGTGGTCACCTACAGGAGGAACCTGCAGCTGAGTGTTTGTCTGTGAGACCAAATCCACAGTGTGAAGCTGCAACATGTTCTCAGCGTCTCTGTGCTGCTTCTTGTGGCTCCGCAGAGAGTCTTCTCTGACAAAAGAAGCGCTGCACGAGTCGCAGGAAAAGGCTCGCGCTGCATCCAGTTTGGCCCGGTACCTGGAGCTGACGGGCTTCGGAGAGTCACTTCCTCCACCCTTCCCTGCTCCTCTGCCACTTTTCCCACTGACAGCCTTCTCCGGCTTGTCCGAGTGGCACTTCTTTTTGTGAATGACCAGGCTGCTGCGCTGCTTGGTGGCAAAGCTGCAGAAGTCACATTTAAAAGGTCTCTCCTCCGAGTGTATCCGCTCGTGGACCTTGAGCGCCCACTTGCTAGAGCAGGAGTAAGTGCACTTGGAGCACAGGATGGGCTGAACGGGCTGATGCTCCCGCGAGTGCTCTCGCAAAGCATTCTTGGTAGAGCACTTGAAATCACAGTGCGTGCACTGAAAGGAGTTTTCGGTGCTGTGCTTGAGCTGAATGTGAGATTTGAGGTTGCCTTTCATGGCACAGCGATACTCACAGAAGTCACATTTGTAGGGCTTCTCCCCAGAGTGAGTCCGAATGTGTCTCTTCAGGTCAGAGTTGATTTTGAACTTGGCGTCACACTGGTGGCACTGGAATGGTGCGTCCCCTTGAAAAAGAAAAATACAATTAACAGCATAAATAAAGCTACAAATGGCAGTGATCATGGTCTAACACAAAATTATAGAAAAAAACAAATAACAATTGGAGTCTTATTTATCCAACACATTCCTGTGTTACTTTCAGACCTGCTACAACAGACTGCCCCTTGTGATGTTCGCCTGGGAATCAAACCCAGATCATTCTCATTGTAAGGCAGGTGTGCTAACCACTACACTATGGAACCGTAATAATGTAGACCCTTATTTGTCCCACAAAATGGAAATTTATAATGCGAGTCTGACACAGGCTGCCACAAGAGGCACCAGGGATATGTGGTTCCTCTGGGAATCGAACCCAAGACTCTCCGTTCTCTGCTTTCAAGGAAGCCATGCTACACTTTGGACCTAAAGGCAGGGTTTCTTGTTGTTTAATGCTAGCCATCCTATCACTGATACCAAACAAAGTAGAAGAAGACAGCGACATAATGTTGTTTATTGTTAACAACAGACTAACACACACGTGTTGAAAAACCTACCGGTGTGGGAGCGGAGGTGCACGGTGAGCTGACTGGAGTTGCGACTGGCGTAAGGACAGATCTGACATTTGAATGGCCGTTCGTCGTAGTGGATTCGCAGGTGCTTCTTCAGACTGCTGCTGTCCGCCGCTGCGTACGGACAGTGTTTGCATTTGTGCGGCTTCTCGCCTGTGTGTAGACGACTGTGCATGTTCAGCTTGTCCCGCCGACTGAAGCGTTTATGACACAGCTCACATTCAAAGGGCTTCTCACCTGGATGAAGTACAGCCAGAAAAAGTGAATTGAGGTTTTAACACACGAGAAGGAGCGCAGTGTCAGGGTGTCGTGACTGACCAGTGTGGGTCTTGAGATGACGCTCCATGTCTTTTTGGCCATACTGTGTTTTGAAAGTGCATCCTGTAGATGAAGAGAAATTGTATTTTTCTGAAAGTTTGTAAAAACCTGATGTCATTCAGAGAAGTTTTACTGTCGTAAAAACGAAGAGGCGCCAACCTGAAAAACAGCAGCTGTGTCTCTTAGAAGTCAGGCTTGGTTTTAGTTTTTTGAAAGGCGTTTTCTGTGCTTTGGTCAGGATCTTTTTGACGCCTTTCATGACGGAGGACTGGTAAGTCTCCTCAAAGATAAAGTCAGTGGTGGAGTCTGGAGTAAGGACAAGCATAGCTGTGAATCATGGGACAAAACAAGGAGTCTTCACATCAGAGTTTTATTAAAAACAACGCCCTACGCTTTACCTGTGAAGGATGCAGACAGATTGATGGCTGATGGATCAGCTGCAGGCAGGGCACAGCCATTTTGCTTGTGGGCCAAAAAGACCTCAACGTTATTGTACTGCTGTTTACAGAAGCCACAGATGTGAATATCTGGGCTGACTTCCCCAACCACAGAGTGTCCTGTCAGAAAACCAGCAACAGCGTTAAGTTGGAATGAAAAGCTGTTCGATACACAAACAGTAACATCATATTCTACGTGAGTTCGTGGAACTGTTTCCATTTACCTTCGGCGCTATTTGATGTCATTTTCGAGCTTCTTTTGCTGGAGATCAGCTCATTCTTTTTATCTCCTCTGACTCCACTGCGTCCGCCGTGGAGTCAAACTAGTTCCATTTAGCTTTATACTGAGCCAAACGCTGTAAGTGCGTTTCGTTCATTAAAAATTTAAAGCGTTTTGTCCGAAGTTATCCATAACTGTTTATTTCTCTCACCTCTAAAACAAAATCCGATGCGGACTGTTTTTACGACTCACTGTGTAAGGTTTACGGCAACAGGGGAAGTTGTGCGTTTAGATGACGTCACGTGTTGCTTTTACGTCAGTGGGAAATTCCGTATTTGATCTTTTACAGACAGATCATGGCGTTAAACATTTTTGAAGATACTCGCATTCGTTATTTTTTGTTTTTTAACTCCTGAAACTTCACAAAGCAACTGATAATGTAATACTACAATCTGTACATTTTTTTAACTATGGGTAATTTTATTTTTCAAACGTCAACCCTGAATGAAAAAAGTTGCTACTGAATGCAAAATAATTTTCCGTATTCTTATGAGCACGTATCGGACATAACTTCACGTAAAAAAAGAACAACAACAACAACAACAACAACAATAATAGTAATATAAAATCAAATTAAGGGCTAATGGCTATCTAATATTTAACAGAAGCGATTGAATTAGTTAGCTCTCAAATTAAGCGCTAATGGCTATCTAATATCTAACAGAAGCGATTGAATTAGTTAGCTCTATTGCTCATGAATGAGCACTTAAAGGCAACACGCAATAAGATCTAAACTTATGTACAGATTCAAGACACACAAAATTTGAAAATAAATAACTAAATAAATAACAACAAAATAACCTGAAAGACTATCTGAGTTTTTGTGTAACAGTGTAAGTTTTAGGATTTGGTAGGTTTATAATACAACCCCTCTGAAAGCCTACTGTCTGTAAGTACAGACAATTTACATTTCCCAAATACAGACCCAACAAGTGATGACATGTTCAACTAAAACTGACTGCATTTTGTTTGTGTCACTAAATACATCTGAACAGGTTTATTTTACAGTCAAACATGTTTACAGTGTTGATGCAGTTTAGAAAATAAGACGAGCTGTGACACCTGCAGAGAGCAGCAGTCCCTCCGAGGGGCAGGCCTTCTGTTGTTTAGCAGTGGTTGTAGGACACCAGACTTTACCGGCTCTCCAGCAAGGTCAATTTACTGACTTGGTGGTGTGTGTGAGCGAACGAGAAAGCCCTCCTTTTGTGTGTGAGCAGCAGTTGTGCTGGTGTGAATAAGCCATGAAAGTGAGTGACGTACAGCTCCATTTTCAGTGGCAGGTCCTTAACTGCCTGATTGCCACTGTGAAGCACAGGAATTTCCTTACGTTGACTTTCCTGCGTGGCAAAGGCACAGGGACTGATTCCCTCCCTGCTGAAGCAGCAAATCCTCCAGAGTCAGACTCTACACACACGCACACACACACACTACTTTGCCTCGATCCCAAGCACACCTAATTCCAATTAAAGGAGCACAAAGCCCCGTAATGTCACTAAATATGCAGATGATATTCCCTTAATGTAAACAATATTTGCCCAGCGTCTGCACATCCAACAGCCTCCATAAGACCAGATCATTCAGACCACGGTTGACTTTCAGTACTTGACTATATTGACATATATTTTGACATATTGACATATATTTTACATCTTATCGATGTGGTAATAGGGATTTCACAGTGACATTTCAAAGTTTAAAAGAAACTAAATAATAAAATAAGTGTGCGTCTCATCATATGCACATAAATCAACGCCTACACACACGGAGTCATTGGAGTTAAGTGTACATCAAAACATCTGATTTGCATAAGACACACAAAATGACTCGGATATGTGGTAATTAAAGAAGGACTCATGCCTTCCCCACAGCGCTGGTTCACAGGCCGGCCGGATCACTACTTTGATCTACGCATCGTTTTTTTTTTTTACCATCAAAAGAATTGTAATTTTTCTTTCCATTTACTGTCACTTTATCATCAGGGACGATCTGAGGAAACTGCACCAACAACAATGTGACTTCTTATGTTCCTAATGTAATTAGGGGCCGCAACAATTGTTTACAGGCCGGATGAGATATTGATCAACCATTGAATAAATGCAACAAAATGACTTCAAAATGATCCATAAATATTTTATCCTTGAATCTAAAAGTTGCTTTTTATTTTCTGTCACAGAGGAGCAACAAAAGCACTAAGTTCAAATGCCAAAATCAGATCATTGGTTATTTGATAATTAGATGTCTATCAGAAACAGTTGATGAAAAGAAAAGAAAAAACAAAAAAAGTAAAACTTACTTATTATTCATTATGTGAACATTTGTTTTTTTAAACTAAAATACACAAATATTAGAACAATAATCAACCAATCAATCCTTTTGTGTCACATGTATCAAAACCACACAATAATTCAAAGTAATACATTTTAAATTCATTTTACTTCCACTGTTCTCAGTCCTCACGAGAATAATTTAGCAAAATTATCTGGAACCTTAAAAACCAAAACAACCTTCAGTGTCAGTGAAACAGCCTAAAATAAATTAAAGCACTGACATTTGACGAGACATCCGACAATGAAGACAGAAAAAAACCCCAAAACTGGTCAAGTAAACAATATTAATGATTTCAATTGGCCGTTCATCTTCCATCAGGTGATTGGTAATGTGACTCACTGTGACAGAAGCACAGTATTAATCTGAACTCCTCTCCTCCTCACGTCGGTTACTTCCTCCTACCGGTCTTCATTTCTTACTGATAATAAACTGGGCTGTTGTTGTATTGAAGTCGTAGTCGGACCTCCTGCTGTGCCAGGTCTAATTTGTCGATGTGCAGCTCACACGTTCAATGAAATGCCCAAGTATTCTGTGAGTGATGTAACGCTCCTCTTTTTCCCCAGTGAGACAAGGG